CCTTCCTTCCCTCCTCTCTCTCTCTCTCTCTCTCTCTCTCTCTCTCTCTTTCTTTCTGTATATATACATAAAATTTGGTTTTTTGGTACTTGTACATTCCAGTTGATATTTTTCCTCTTCCGGTCCTTTGTTAAATTAATAATAGACTTCAAAGGACTTTTTACTCATAATTAACAATGTATAAAACCAAGATACAAAGGAAGATAATTATGTGTTCCATAATTCAAATAAATTATTCCGGATGTTAGAAGGATATTTATTATAAGGAGTTGATTAATAAAATTAATTAACAGCCTTAGCTGCTGAATATGAATTTATACAAAAATCTTTTATTTTTTAAAAGACCACGAGATACTAATAGTGTTTTGTCTTTTAACAAAAATTCTATAAGAGATGTTATCAATCACTTCATTTAAAAATTCAAGCTGCAATATGGTTTAGTACAGAAATATAAATAATGTATGCCAATTAACATTTTGTATTTATCTGTACTAATAAATATAGAAATGTATACAGCTTACTATTGTATAGTTATATTACAATGTATAATACAATATACAATCAGATATATATGCAAAGCAGTTGGAAAATATTCACATATATTAAATGAAAGTAATATGATATATGCTGTGGGAATACTTTTGAGATAAATACTCAATCTTTTGAAAGTGTACATTATGTTTTGTAGTCTAAATATTTTGCAAGAATTTTTTGTAACTATTATATATAATATATATCCTTTCTTTATTAACAGATTCTGGAATATTACGAGATAAAGACCTCTATCTAGAATGAAAACTTTTTTATATCGATATATCGAAATTATAATTGTTTTTAAGTAGGACACATTTAAAATTGTCCAATCAGTTTATGAAAAACGTGTAAGATGTTATAGCAACATATAGGACAGTACGACGAGTTGCTTATTTGTACATTGCGCGACAAAGTTTCGCGCGTGGTCCCGTCGGAGCTCTAACTTATCGGTCTGATTTACTCAGGCAGGGTCGATAACATCGATAACGCTAATAAATAAAGGATATTGAAATTAAGATAATTAGGTAATTTATTAAAATTAATAACAAATTTCTCAAAGATATTCTTTTATTAGAAATAATTATCCGAGTATCCGAGTAATCGATCTAGTATTCTTGTGCAATTACTTGCTGTTATCATCTTTCCAACCGATTGCTCAAATTTCCATTTCCTTATACATTATTTAATTATTTATTACAGTCTGTTTATATGTATTTGAATAAATGTATAATTCAAAACGCATATATTACGAATTATATATTTATACAGATAAATATAAAGATGTATGCGACTTGTAATACGACGGAGATATAATTCATGCATTTCTAAATTAAAAGAAGAAAGAAAGATGAAACAAATAAAGGATTATTATTATAAGGATAATTATTATTTTTATTATTCTTTGTTACTGCATGTGTTCCTTTCGACGTGCACCTTTCCGAAGCGCGCGCGCGCATTCAGCATTACGTTATTCAGTCGACGTTATCGACTTTGCCCGAGTAAATCAGGCCGAGTAGGCCGATAAGTTAGAGCTCCGGCGAGGCTTCTCATGCGGCGAATCATTGTCGGTCAGTGTACCGAGCCAATTGGAGATGGAGACGCGATACGACGCGATGCGATGCGACGCGACGCGACGCGACGCGACGCGATGCGATGCGATGCGATTGGTGCTTGACAGTCAACACAGTCAACGAGCTTGCTGCTTGCTGCACGATAGCGGCGCAGGTGTGCCCGTGTGCCACGGTCAGTTTTGTACGCGTCAGTTTTGTACTGTATATACGCTTTATCTAATAACGAAGTCAGTGGAGCCCACTATTTTGGTATGAATTATTATTTCTGTGACCGTGCTTTGGTACGTTTTTTTTATTTGACGAATGATGCACTACTTGGACATTCCTGTGATCAATTGAACACACAAAAGAAATCGTACAGTTCAGATGATCTCGAGTATATGGGATGTACCGTAACCATGCGATTACCGAGTAGCATTTTATAGCATTGTGCAGCATCTCGTAAAATCCTGCAACTGTGAATGCATTATTGTGATATAAGCGAAAGATATCTACGTGAGTGATTTTTGTTGATACAAATATGGCTGATTGAGAAATCCGCTGCGATTTTAATTAGATTAAAAAACTTTCTTAAAGACATGATTTACCGTTCCTTATCGCGAATGAAAGTACGTGAAAGCGCCTTCATCTGTGGCAAATCAGTTTGTTCGCTCTTAGGACATTCATCGATAATTTAAACGTAATAATCACATCTTTCGTTTTACATGTCACATATCTCGACACAGCTTATTTATATAGATATATATTGTCATGTTAAAAATAAGCTGAAAAAATGCTTATAATAAACGTAAGATGATACAAATTTTTTGAAAATTGTCTGCATGTGAAAAAGAAAGTTTATCATTGTCAGGCTAGTCCTCGCCCTGATGAAGTTAACTGTAATTCGTTGACATAATTCTAAAAATGTATCATGACACGAATGACACTCCTAAACCTATATTAACCTTTTTGAAGAAAGAAAATTGTTCTTATATCATAAATTTTAATCTATAATTAACATATTTTTCATTTTTATGCAGATTGGAAATAATCATCAAAAATTTTGTCAATTACATAAAGACAGCAAAGATAACAGAAAAATTTTTCATAATGATTTTATTAAAAATTATAAAAATCTTAGAAAAGAAGAAGAAAATGGGTTTAATGGAAAATAATTTTAAATAATAATTTTTTAAATATCGAAAAAGTTATAAAATGAAATGGTTATATATTTGTTACAAAAAAAAACTTGTTTAAAATATTTGTACTTTAGGAATCGATTTTTTTATAACCTTTTATAACAAGTTAATCTCTGATAAAGCAGAATTCAATAAATGAATTTAATTTGTTCGATATTTTATTTCTTCTATATTCTATATTCTAAATTCGTATTTTCCATAAAATTTTTCTCTGTACTTTTTAGGTCTAAATCATCGTCACAATCATCTTTAGAGTCTGTGAACAATTTAAGAAAAGAAAAAAATTGCAAAATTGCAATTGAAACATTATCCCAAAATCTAAATTTTTATTTTTATTTATGTTATATAAATATATTATTTATAACATTTAAAATTGAAAAAGAAATAAGTTAAAAGGATTAAATGATAAAAACATCGATTTGCTTTAACTTTTCTTTCAAAAATATTAACATTTCTTACATACAATGCTAAAATTTTACATTAAAATTAAAAAAAATTAATTAGAAATTATAGCCGATAATATTGAGCAGCGCGCAGAAGCAAGATAAAGTTCATGCTCTCTAATTGTATTTTGCTATCTGAATATACACTGCTTACACACATTCTTATTCTTATATAGCATCGATCTCATATAGCATCTTTTTTTTATTGTTATGTTTGAAAAAAATAGCATTTCTTTATATACATTAATGCATACATAATATTAAACATAATACATATATACATACATACATACATACATACATACATACATACATACATACATACATACATACATACATACATACATACATACATACATACATACATACATACATACATACATACATACATACATACATACATACATACATACATACATACATACACATATACATACAAGGTATACTATTTTATTTTATTTTACCGTTATTTAGCCTTCTTTAGGTCGCAACTTTTGTCTAAGACATTTTTTCCTAAAATTAAAAAAAATTTTTAGAGATGATTAAAACGAAACATCATGTATGTGGGATGGAGGAGGAGGCTGTATAGAGGGTGATTCATATAAAGTTTAATTATTAGCGAAGACATATGAAAAAATAGTTTATCAATATACTCAATATAAAAAGAAACATTATATAGTAAAAATAATTATTTTATGGATAGAGGTGTCGAGGACATTTCAAGATCGATCTCATTCTTTTAAATGGAATGTTATATTTTTTATTTCATTATATGATAGTCTTTTTTAAAATAAGTTTATTCATATATTACATAAGGACATTCAAAGTCAATCTAGATCACAAATTCATTCAGTAAAATAAATGTATGCCTTTCATTTCCTTTCTTTGCAATAAATTAAAGTTTTGATTTTGAAGTCTACAGTTATAGATGAATTCTATGTATAAAAGGTTTACTCTTTTTAGTACCTCCAATGAAATTCAAATATTGTAGTGATCAAGCGATCACAAGTTACAGTTCAAAGATTTAAAATACACAATGATTTTGTTTATGATTAATCTAGTCTAATGTGAATATAGAGCAACACAAATCGCTGAAATTTTTTAATTCACCAAATCTGTTATATCAATGTGTATGTATATGTTTATGGTTTTGTTTTCTTTTGAAACTATTGTCATTTAACTATTATTATCTAATATGAGATTAGTTGTAATACTGAAGTTGTACTGCTAGAATAAAATAAAGGAAAGGTTTTCTTATATTAAAATTTTTGATAAATACAAATGCCAAGAAAATATAAATCAATGAAATAATAACTTGAAAAAGATTAATATTCAAAACTTTGTTTTATCATGTAGGCTCATAAATAAGTCAATAAATTAATTACTTCTGTTTAAAAAAATATAAACATTATGTTACATTGATTTCACATATACACACATGTACGTAAAATTATTATAATGTAAAGAACGAGTGTGTGCGCGCAAAATAATGGAAAAGCAAAGTTTTTATTTTTAGATTATGGAATCAACATTGCTGTAAATCAGTCAATAGTCAACAAAGAAATAACATGTTCGTGGTTGCATTATGAGAGATTTACATGGCAAGAACATGTTATTCTTATACGATACTGCTTCCATGCGAGTTCACGAATACTGTGAAACCAAAGGCTGTGTTAAGAGTGCGTTATACACGCACAGTGATATTCGGCGTGGAGAAAGGATCTCGCTTCGTGACAGACTAGTTTGCCGTATGGTTTAATAGACAGTGTTTTAATTGTGCATAAAATTCAGTGTTTTAATTGTGCATAAAATTCGTTTTTTGCTCGTAATTATCTTTAATGTTATATTTTGCAATTGTTTATTCTGTGTATTAATGAGAAAAAAGTGGCAGAGTGAAAGGCAAAAAAAAAAAGAACAAAAAGAATAAAAGAACATTACAGGATCCTTAATGGTAATGCTTTATATATTTGAAAAGTAATGTTACCGAGTTATATAAATGGTGATTTTTTTGATCGGAAAAAGAAAATCAAGCAAAATGGAAGAGAAGCGTTGTTCATATGTCATTATCAATTTACATTACGTAATGAAAAGATACAAATAATATATATATATATATATATATATATATATATATATATATTGTTAAATGAATAGAGATAAATAAAACTATTTATCTCTAAGAAATATTTGAACAAGGACAAAACGAGAACAAAAGACACGTAAAAAGACATTTAGAAAATAACAAAAAGAGAGTCTGCAAAAGATTAAATTGTGAAACGAAAAGGTGCCTTATATTGGCGATTGCGGAGATCGGATTTAGGATCGTACAATGGCCGAGGTTTCATTTCTTCCGAGACCTGTGAGCGTCATTGCCATTGATGGTGCTGCTGTGGATAATGTCAGGAACGATACAGATCAAATACAGGTATCAGATAATCTTTTCTTTTGATGTATTATGCGTGCGATGTAGTCAGTCTAGTAATCCAAATTATTGAGGAGGATATACTTGTCAAATAAATAATGGATCAAATATTCAATCCTTTTTATTAAGAAAAAGATTGTTTCTTGCACTTTTAAAATAAAATAATTTTTTAATATCTCTAAATGCTTAAAACCGAGATTAAATATATAGCCTGCACAAAAGAAACGATATATTTGTATGTAATAATGCACCTAGATAAATTGAACAAAAATTTTAATTTTAGTTATTATTAAATTCTATTATTTAGACTTTTAGCATTTTTTCTAATATCTACAATGGTTTATATTAACAATAAAGGTGCACTAAAAGCATATTCCCTATAAATATAAACTAGCAGTCAGTCAAATCTAAATAAATCAGATTTTGCCAAATGCCTATTACAAACTTCGTCAGCAGAAAGACTATAAATTTGACATAAAATCTATTATATCAAATATTGTTGCCAAATCAATAAAAATGTAACAAACCCACACAACACAACAAGTTCCCGGGGAATAAAATTTTCATAAAATTTTTAGTAATTTTGCACGTCGAATGACGAAAAATGACCTTAAATCATTGTCATAATGACATTATCTTGCTATTTGAGATATAAAATTCGATATGATGAAAAATGCTGAATAAAGTTACATCTCGTCGGTGGTAAGGATCCATCGAAACATTGATAAACAATGTACGTAATATGTAGTATTAAACAAAGAATAAAATTATTAATAAAGAACAAAAGATTGTTTCTAAAAAATGATTCTGAAATCTCTAAAATAACTGGAACTGGAAAAATAACCCAAATAAGAAGGGAGGGTGTGCGTCACGGCAAGACCCGACCACGAACCAGTCGTGAATAATTATTATTTTTGCGAAAAATATCGTCTCAGCCAGAAATCTCCTGCTTACCGTGGAAGCATCCTTTTGACTACAAAGGCATGTGATGATATTTATCGCAATAACATGTTTAGAACATGTTAAACAATCCAATGTCTCACACACACACACACACACACACACACACACACACACAATATATATATATATATATATATATATATATA